GGGGGGGGCGGGGTGTGTGTGTGTGTGTGTGCTCCTGAGCAGAAGCCACCAGGGTCTGTGAATTACCATGATTTAGTGGGCTGGGCAGCTTAGGTTCGGGTGGGGTGGGGGAACCCCTGAATTCAGGCTACCCTGAGGAGCCTTCTAGACTCACCCATATTATCCTTATTGTGTGAGAGGGTAAGGTCTGCAGGGTGGTGGTGGCACACGCCTTTAGTCCTAGCACTTGGGAAGCAGAGGCAGGTGGTCTACAGAGTGAGTTCCAGGACAGCCAAGGCTACACAGAGAAACCCTGTCTCGAAAAATTGAAATTGAAAAAAAAAAAAAAAAAAAGGAGTGGGGGGTGGTAAGGTCAAGTCGCTCCTCCCCCTGAGACCCTCACCCATCTGAAAAAGCCTGACTAAGTAACCAGCACACAGCAGCACATTCCTTTGGGCTTCCTGGCACACACATACACACACACACACACACACACACACTCAGGAGGTGAGCAAAGCCCCCAGTATTCGGCAGCCTCTCTCCACCATCCCAGCGATGTTTTAAGCTAGAGAGATGGTGGTGCATGCTTGTCATCCCAGCACTTGGGAGTCTGAGACAGGAAGACCATGAACTCAAGGCTAGCCTGGTGGATGGAGCAAGACACAGCCTTTAAAGGGTGTGGGTGGGTGGGGGTGGGGGCATTGATATGGATATTGTTACACTCTAACCGAAGGGGGCTGTCCTCCTCAAGAAAAGTTTCAGTAGCTTAAGCACAGCCTTCTCCTCCTAGGGAAAGACCACATGCTGGGAACCCCACTCCTGCTGGACGTTCAGGCGGACTTGGAGGGTGCAACCCTGTCTGTGCCCGGGGCTTTAACCCTTTACAATGCCCCTGAGAGCAATGCCTCCTACTTGGATCCTAGAGCCAGTCCCTCCTCCCCCTGAGACCCGCACCCCTCTGAAAAAGCCTGGCTAAGGAACCAGCACGCAGCAGCACACTCCTTTAGGCTCCCCGGCGCCCCATACACACACCCCCGGGAGGTGAGCAAAGGCCCCAGTATTCCGCAGCCTCTCCCCACAATCCCAGCGAGCCCTGCAACATAAACTGCGTTCCACCACTCTGTTTCTGGTCTCTCTCTCTCTCTTTTTTTTTTTTTCCTATCAATCAATGGTCACTAGAACCATGGGTGGGTGACGTCTTTGCGTTTATCCAAGTGTCCAGATGTTCCGATTTTAAAAAGACCGTACGCTCAGGCACTCATGGAATACACACCTCCCGGGAGAACGGTGGGACTTGGAGAGCCAGTACCTAACTCTCCCACTTGCATTGAGATGCCGGCCCGGCGCCAGCCACTGCAACCTCCAGGAAGTAGGCGGGTTTTTTGTTTTTTGTTTTTTTTTGTGCCACATCCAGCTCCTCAATACATGTGTCTCTGATTCTAGTCAAGTCAGTTCCCTTCTCTAAACTTCTCTATGACCCGCGGAGGGAAGAGTGGGCTGGACAAAATGGTACTGTGAGCTATACTGTCCCCCTGACTGGAATCTGGGTGCTTTGGGACGGGGAAGGATAGCGGTCAGTGTGTCCGCCCCTTCCAGCGCGTGGCCTCCATGTCCACCGTCCGAGTTCGCAGAAGCGGTGAAGCATGCCCCTCCCCCGCCCGTCCACCCCCATTCCCGGCAGCCCCGGCCGCCCCGCCCCTGTTGCAGCTGCTGTTCTCGTCCCCACCCCGCTCGCTCTGCCCTTTCTGCACTGTCATCTGCCCCGGAGAGGCTCAGCTCCGGAGTGGACGCTCCGGACTACAAGCCCGGCTCCACCCAGCAGGGAGGGAAAAGAAACAGATTGGGCAGAATCCCGTGCCTCACCACCAGCACCGGAGCTCGAAGGTCTGTGGGCCCCGCCCTTCCTCAGCCCTGAAGCGCTAGGGCTGAGTGGAGGGCTAGTGGGGGGTACCGGTGCAGCTGCGCATGCGCGACTGGCTCCTGCTCCGGGTCCTGCCCCCCAAAAACAAATCCTGGCCAGGCAGCGAGCTGGGGAATCCCAGCTCAGACCAGGTCTCACGCTTCTTCACCTGGAGCTCAGGGTAACATTTAGACTTGTCATTCGATGCACTGGCCAGGGCATAACCAGCATTCACCTCAGAGCTGTGATAACCTCAAAGGGAGGTACATCTAACATAAAAATAACTTGTGGGGGGAAGAGGGGGCCAGTCTAGCCTGGAAGTCTGGCCAGAATAGGTGCTGGCCTCACCCCTTTCCCTCTAACCAGAGGTCCTGTCTGCTGTCCTACACAGTGTAGTATGAGATCCTAGTAAACACAGTAATAAGGACCAAGGCACACAAAAGGAGATATCTACCTTTGAACTCTCAGGAGTTGGGATAGACATGGGAGCATTTCTGTCTTGAGGGCTTGGTCCGTAGAGTAGAGGGGAGAGAAGGGCACCCCAGACCTAGGGAACAGCAATGGCAAAGGCTAAGGTGCCAGGACATAGTTAGTTCTCTCAGGACTGAATAGTGGATGGGGATGGCAGAGAACATGATGATCTAGGGTGGTGGGAGGGCATCAAAATAGCCAGACCAGGTAGCTTAGAGTCTTCGATGGGTAGCTGGGCCTGGCGTTCAGCTAGAGAAGAGTGTTCTAGTTTGGGGTAGTGCAAGTCGGATTTCAGTTGTACTAGGTCCCTCTGAACCCGTCTCTCAATCCATAAAACTGGAACAAGAAATTCTACCCCGGAGTTGTCAAAGTCACTATGTTGGAGTGGGCGCAGAGGAGGAGTGGGAGTATTCAGGAGCATTCGTTGCCCAGGAGACAAGCTGCTGGGGGTGGGTTTAAGGGGCAGAAGCTAATGGAAGTTGACCACAGGGCATCTGACACAGATGCCGGCCCGGGATATGACGGGAGATAGAGAGGGAGGAAATGTCTAGTCTGTTCCTAGTGCCCTTGGGAAAGGGCTAACACTTAGATATGAGGGATGGAGGGGGACCCAATGTGTGAAGTCACCAGTGATAGCATAGTGCGAGAGTAACGAGGCATGACGAGCTGGGTATGATCCAACGGAATACGAAGAAGGTAGAACAGGGACATTTAGGGCAGAGGCGCCTTAGAAGGATGCTGTACCAATAAAGCTAAGGCAAAAGGAATAGTTGAGTTTCTTTTTTCCTTAATGCTAGGGTCCTTGCTGGCTGGGTCAGGCCACCCAACCCAGGAGGCGGTGGTCATTAGTTGATGATAGATGAGCAAATTAATTTATACCTGGTTTCTACAGTCTGGTACAGGCAGCTTCTCAAAATGGATAATCCAAGGAGAGGAAGCTAAAAGTTCAACAAGCATTCGTTAGCAGCTTTTAAGAGCTGGGCCTTGGGCATTTCAAGGTCAAATAAGAGATGGTTGGTGTCACTGTCGGGCCATCAGGGAAACGAGTGGGTCCCCGGTGCCAGGAAGTCCGTCAAAATTAAAACTCAGGAGAACTCAGTTCCCTTGCTTAGATAACTTGGAAGAGTCAAAAGAGTATGTTGGGGCTGCGGTGTGGCCGTGAGTGAAATGGCAAAGTTCTGGAATGCCCGGACCTCAGGGTTAGGCGAATGGAGCTGGAGCGTGGGTGCCTCCACACACGGGTGCGGCCCTGGTTTTATGAGAGATCAGGCAGGCCGTCGTGATCCAAGGATTGCTGCGGGGAGTTCAGGCAGGAGGTGGGAATCAACCCTAGGGTTCTCTGCCTGTTTAGATAAGGAATTGGGTTTAGGAAAAGGAGCTCGGGTTGGCTAAACTGGGCTCAACCGGTGGCCAGCTCTGCAGGTGTCCGGCGGGTGGAGACTGGGGGAGGAACCTGAAGAGCCAGGGCAGAATCAGCCAAGCAGTTGGAGGGTAAGTTCTGTTCTTCTGGCCTCTAGGTCAGAGGAACTATCCAGACTCAGATGTGGAGGTGAACTTTAGATAACTCCTGGGAGAGGTCAGTGGAGGGCGGGCACACCAGCTCCCCAACCCGCGTCCCCAGTTTCTCTCCTTCTCCTTGATACAGCCCAAACATGGGCAACACGCAGGAGCGGCCATCGGAGACTATTGACCGGGAACGGAAACGGCTGGTGGAGACTTTGCAGGCTGACTCTGGGCTGCTGCTGGACGCGCTGGTGGCTCGGGGCGTCCTCACGGGGCCCGAGTATGAAGCCTTGGATGCGCTGCCTGATGCAGAGCGCAGGGTGCGCCGCCTGCTGTTGCTGGTGCAGAGCAAGGGCGAGGCAGCCTGCCAGGAGCTACTGCGCTGTGCCCAGCATACTGTATGCATGCCAGACCCCGCCTGGGATTGGCAGCACGTGGGGCCTGGTGAGCACCAGGAGGGTGGAGCCTTGATGAAAACCGGGGGCATGGATGTGGGGCGTGGGGGCAACGCTAAGGGTAAATGGAGGGCAGAGAATGTGGAGACAACTAACCGCAGAGGGGTGAATTGAGCCTCAAGTGATCCACTTCCTCCCCAGGCTACCGGGACCGCTGTTATGACCCTCCATGCCCGGGCCACTGGACGCCTGAGGCACCAAGTTCAGGGACCACATGTCCTGGGCTGCCCAGAGCTTCAGAGCAAGAGGAGGTCGGAGGTCCCGAGGGCTCTGAGGCAGTGCAATCTGGAACTCCGGAGGAGCCAGAAATAGAAGCCGAAGCCTCTGAAGGAGATGGCCCAGACCTGGAGCAACAAATGGATCCAGAGCCAGAGGCTGCAGTAGAACTAGAGGCTGAGCCGGTGCCGGAGCCTGAGCCTGAGCCTGAGGAGCCAGAGCTTGAGCAGGAGCCGGAGCCAGAGCCCGACTTCCAAGAGGATGAATCTGAAGGTTTTGAGAGCACCAAAACCTTTGCGTACAGGCTTATTAGTGGTTGTAGACTGGGAAGTGGGGGCTGATCCCCATCCCACTGACCACTATCCTTTTCATTTCTAGATTCCTGAAGGCCTGAATCCTGACCTGTCCAAATCCTACTCAAGCTGGATAAGACCTGGGAACCTGCCAGAACTTGACCCAATGCGCCAAGACTCTGCTTACTGCAAAATGAATAAACCTGGAAGGGTTAGGCTGGCCCTGACTCTCCATAACTCTGGCTCTTTGCTCAAGAACTGAGGGTGGGCATGGGTCTGAATCCCACTGACCTGAGCACGATTGTGTGAAATACTCCCGAACCCCTCAACCACATTCACTCCCCAAAATAGCCCAAGCTGTATATCTGGAGATCTTAGGCCCAGGGCCCTCATGGAATCTGACCCCTGCCCCACTGCTTTTTTTTTCCTTTCAGGAGCCATTTGGCAGCCCATGTAGGTAAGTTTTGCTCTATGGAAATCACTAGGCTTGGTGTGTTGAGCAAACGAAGGAGGGTGTCTGTCCACTTGAAAAGGAGTCTGGGAGCTCACAGCATTGAAGGGGGAACATGAGAGGGACCTTGAGTAGACTGAGGCCACACACATCACTGTACTGCTGTTTAATTATCCGGCTTTCCTCTGGACTGGAAGTGCGGGGGGAGGGGGGGGAGGGTCTAACCAGTCACAGACATACACAAGGAGCTCTGTACATATCTATTAAGTAAACGGAGAAGAACTTCCCAGCTGTGCTTCCAAGCTTCACAGACGGGAAAATAAAAGACCAGGGTAGGGACAGTACTGGCTCTGTCTCTCAAGGCTGAATGTGAAGTGAAAACGAAAGCGCTGGCCAGCTCTGTACTTCTCCTGGCCTGCACATTAGATAACAAATCCTAGGGACCTGCCCTGCAGGTTTGACTGTGGTCGTTCCCTGCCTGTACTCACTGCCAGAGACCAGCTGTGGGGCTGTGGTCAACGGCAGGTACAACCAAGACTAGTGTGGGGACTGAGGGTGGGGCCGGATTCACAAGACCTGAAGTCCAGTGTGCCGGTGTGTGTGGTAAGAGGGGGACGAGGAACAAATGGTTCTTCCCCAAAGTGTCCCATCCCTGCACTGAATTCCTAGGAGCTGTTGCTTCCCGGCCCCAGCTGGAGGCATGGACTAATACATGGAGGCAGACATGGAATAATGCATGGCCAGTGAGAGAGCAAAATGCTGAAAAGCAAACCCCAGCCCAGCTGGGCTTCTGGATCCCAGTGAAAGCCAGGACCCTGTACTCAGGCAAGTCACCTTACAGGGGACCCCAGCTCCCACCAGCTCCAGTGAGAGGTAGACAGTATGAATGTTAAAGGAGCACCAGTAGGCCAGGTGGGGGAAGGGAAAGACTGGTACCAGACACCCAAAGCCATCTCATGTAGGAACAAGTTTCCATTCCCAAACCACCCCACATTCCTGCTCACACTCATCTCCCCTCCTATCCCTAGGTCTCCCCTGTTCAGGAGTTTATGTGACATGCTGCTGTTAGTTCACAGGCCCCCGGAAGGCTAGCAAGGACAAGAACCTGATGTTGCCTCTCATCTTACCAAGATGCTCCTGGCCTCCCAATGCCCCCAAGAAACACCTAGGCTACGGAACCATAAAGAACTTCATATTCTGATCTGTCCAGAGCTTCTATCTATAACTGTTAACCAATATCAATTGGGTAGCAGGCGGCCCAGCTCTGCTTCATCCAGCCGGTTGGTAGCCATGATGTGTTCCAGCTGCTGCCGGTAGCGTCCCAAATCTTTCATGAAGTGGGGCACTCTGGTATTATTTAATATTCCATGGGGCCTCAGAAGGTCCACATCTTCATAGGAGACCTATAAGGAGAAAACCAAGGCTCAGGGCTTTCAGGCAGCTAGTTCCTGATTTCCTGATGGCTCAAGACCATTTTCCTCAGAGATTCCTCCTCTCTTCCTCATCTATTCCTACAATAGGTATCTTCAGGTCATTTCTCTTTCCCTCCCCAGCTTTTATCTAGGATCTACAAACTATTCCTCTCCAGTCCAGCTTATCCCCCCTTCACCTCTAAATAGCATTCAAATGATACCTGGGGATCTCTCAAGCATCTCCCACATCCGACACCAGCCTTCTGAACTGTGAGCTGTCTGTATCCCCTTTCATACTCATACTTCACAATCAGGTCCTTGAAAGGGCAACTGGCTTCCCATCTTCCCATTCATGGAGTCCAACAGAAAAGAGTTCTACTGTCTGTAGTTTATCCCTTTGCAACCATGGCCACTGCCTGGTTAGGTCAGACCATTTTCAATTCTGTAAGAGTGACGGGAAGCTTCCTCCTCTTGCCTGTCTAGACCTTTCTTTTCCACGTGCCTCACACAGGACAGCCAGGAGGAGGCCCCTAAAGCAAATCTGTACCACAGCTTCCCTTTGCTTCTGATGAGGTTTGCAATCCTCAACCCAATACAGATAGATACTCAAGACTAGGGCTTTGGTCCCTGGCTGTTTCTCCAGTTCTCCCCCAAACTTGCTTACTGCCCCCCATCTTGGAATACTCGGCTCCTGTGAAATGTGTGCACACACCTGCAGGCTTGGTCACACACCTCCTCTGGGCTACCAAAATTCTGTTTCTTTCTGTCTGCTTACCTCCGCCCAAGTTCCAAGAGAAAGGCCTGGTATCCAGGCCTCCATGGTACATGGAGGAAGAGCTGTCTGGGGCTTCTGTAGGCCCTGTAGCACCTTACCTTGCCCAGTGAGGTCAGCAGCGGGAAGTCGATGGTCTGACGGTGCCGCAGGATGCGCACAATGCCATCCAGGTACACCTGGTCCTTGCTGAAGCAGCCTGTGAGAATGAGAAGCAGCGAATCCTTAACCCGATCTCTACCCCCCCTTCACCTCGCCCCAGCCTGGGCATTCCTCTGACTCTGCAGCTCCCACCTGGCTGGGAGGTATCCGTCTGCCCTCGCTTGGCACGGACGCAGTACTCCCAGCGCACATCCACATTCTGCACATACTGTGCCAGATCCTGGAAGAGCTGGCGGAAGGACATCCGCGCAGCCTGGTGAATGGTGTAGTACAGCAGGGCCGCGCGCCACAGGAACGGCTCCTTTCGGAACAGCACACTATGCAGGCTGGCCAGGCCCTCCTCGGTGGGGTTAGCTGGCCGGAGCCCATACTGCAGTCTGCCTTCGGTGCTGTGCCACGGTTGTTGCGCGTTATTCACGCCGCGCAGGTAGTGGGTGCCTGCGGGGAGGATGAGGGGGTGAAACTCCCCTCACTCCGAACACCCTGGTAGAGACTCTTGAGACCTCCATGACCCCAAATTCACCAAGCCAAGCCCTACCTAAATTCATTCACACCCAACGCCAGACAGCATGAAGACTTCTTGGGCCAGGGCAGGCTCCTTTCTACCTCTTTTCTCACCTCTCACACCCCAACTCATAGGGTGCACTACCTAGCCCTTCTAGAGACCCAGCACATGCTACTCCGCCCCAGCATCCTAGTGCCTGTGCCAATCATCTTGACAGTCAGGCAACTGCTCCAAGCAAAACCGCTTCTTTCCCAGAGCAGCAGGACTCATGTCTGGTGAGGACAGACAGTGGCTGGTGTCTCAGGCCCAACTTTCTAGACTGGTCCCAATCTTTTATCTGTGTGTCTTCAAGCAGTTTCATTCCTAGGATCTAGCCTGCTACCCCACCCTGGTGGGCCTCTATGTTGGCTGATCTGGAGGAACCCTCAGGATTCTTTCTGGACTGTTAGGACCTCAGAAATCTTCCCCTCACTAGCAATGGAAATCAGAAAGGAGCTGTAGAGATAGCCAAGAGAAGAAAGAAAGAAGGTCAGCCCAGAGTGTGGGCAGGCATGCCTGGCCTACGTCTGTGATGGCAAAGGAAGAAGTATCTGCTTAGGAAGAAACAGGCCTGTCTTCACACAGAGAAAGAAAGGAGGGGACTACTGAGGCTGCACACTGCCCTACTCCATCTCTCAGTAGCCCTCCATCCTACCCACCCACACAAATGCCACCCACAGCCTGACCTATCTCGTGCCGCAGCATGCCTTCCAACCAATACTGGCGGGCTCCGGTCAGGTTGATGGCCAGTGTGGGTCGGCTGTTCTCCACCATCATCACTGCCTGGGACAGCAGGTCCTCACTCAGCTGCACCACAACCTGCAGGGTTGGCAGAGCTCTGAGCCATGGTTTATAAGCCCTGATAGCCAGGGTGGAGACAGGCCCCTAATGCTACCAGGCAGCCAGCCAGGATACCCACCCTTCAAAGCCAGCTTTTACCACCCTAGGACTCGGGCAGGGATATGTCTGGGGAATTACAGCTGGCCAGGTGTGTAGCTGGACCTATCAGCTAGGCAGCCTGATTTGGGGCATATCGATGGGTCTCACAGATAGGGCAAACTTACCTCCCCAACGCAGCCTTCCTTCTGCATGTATTTGCGCACAACAGACCAAATTTGGCACTTGGTCAGCAGCTGGCCCCCTGTGGCTGCCTCAAAGTGCTCGTAAGTGCCAAACTTCTCCAGGACAGCTTCAATGATGCCAACTGCCTGCACACAGGGCCACAGCCATTAGTCAGGCTAGGTCCCTTGGGTGGTCAAGGATAGGGTGAAAATGGACAGGCTGAACTGACCTGACGGATGAACTGTCCAGAGGCCTCCTGGTACTTCTCCAGCACACTCATTGGCATCGGTTCCTGATACTCGAACTGTGGATTGTAGGTGTAATGGGACTGGAAGAACTTTTCCCTTTCCTGGTCCACGTTAGTTGGCCGGAGGGCCACCAACATGCAGGGGCTCTTGTTGCTACCATTGCCTATGTCCTTTCGAGTCTTAGCAATATGAGGTAAGGAGGCTGCAGGCCGCAGGGTCCCTCCACCTGGATCGTATCCCCGTCCAAGTGGGGCTTTGCCTCGCCCCCGTCGCTGGCCAGTGCTATTTACACTGTAGGTACTCTCGCTGCGACGCATGTGTTTGCGCTGCTCCAACTGCAGCTTTGAGAAGGTCTGCCACATAGGCCGGGAGTCCGGTGCTGAGGGAACTGCCGCAGCCAAGGGCATAGCCGGGGACTGAGGCCACGGGTATAGGGGTGGCCCATTTCGGTTTGAGGGCTTCAGTTTATTGTGCTGAGATGCAGAACTGGCAGGTGGGCTGGGGGGTGCTTGTTCATACACTTGAGCCCCAGAGTCCAGCACCATTCTCTCCTGAGGGTCACATCCAGCTCCCTCACGTCAACTTCCCACACTGTTGACCTCTAGGGACACAGAAGGGTATGGAGAGACCAGCATGAGTGGATGTGGTTAGAAGAGAACGCCCTGTTGTTCCATGTTAGCTGGGTCCACGGTCTGCTGCCTGGAACCCGAAAACTGTCCACCCTCCCCACTGTCCATTCCTTCCACCAGGCATACCCAAATAAGGCTGAGGTGGAGCAAAGCAAGAGAGAGAGTTTTATACATTTTCCTACTTTCCAGGATCCTCCCAGGTGGCTGGATCCAGAGCTAAAACTAAGGCCCTAAACATGGTTCTAATCTCAGTGTTTAGCTCTTACCCAGTCTGGGAGTTGGCAGAATACACAGCCTCAGATCCCTAGCAGGATCATAGAAAGCCTGAGGCATACAGACGGCATCTTCTCGGTCCCACCTTGTCCCTCGCACCTAGCTCCACCTACATCCTCCAGCCAGTTTTTTGTTTTGTTTTGTTTTGTTTTGTTTTGTTTTGAGACAGGGTTTCTCTGTGTAGCCTTGGTCGTCCTGGATGCACTTTGTAGACCAGGCTGGCCTTGAACTCACAGTGATCCTGCCTGCTTCTGCCTTGCAGAGTGCTGGGATCACAGGCGTGTGTGAGCCACCACACCCAGCACTCTCTTGCCTGTTTGTAATCAGTCCGTTTGAATGAGTGCACCTTGCTCATGCCAGGCCTCACATGAAATGCTCTCTCTCTCTCCCTCTCCTGTTGGTCTTCTGTTCAGAACTGAATTAGAATATGCTTCTTGGAAACAGAGGAAAACCACTACATTCAAACCAGTCCCTGGCCTGTCTCCTATCTGAGGTATCTTTCCCAGTGGCCATCCAAGGTCACTGTCAGAGTACTCACCCCTGACTCTGTGCCAGGGCTCAGTGCAATCCAGTCTCTCCCCGGAGACTGAAGGCTTCAGCCTCTCAACTCCCTTGCCTGCTCAGGGACTCAGTCAGAGCATTTCTCCTTGATCCTACACCAGTCTTCTGCTCCACTGGATTCTTACCATCAGCATAAACACATGCTGTTATTCCTCGTCTTAAAAACAAAACCTTTCCACGAATCTGTGCACCGCTCCCAGCAGCTGCTCTCTGTCACAGCACAACACAGAGTCCTGTATTCCACCTCCTCTTTCTTCTTTCCTGGTCTCTCCTAAGTTCACTGCCATTGGGCATGTATATATCCTGCTCTCCCTCAAACGGAGCTGACCAAGGTCACTAATGGTCATCACATTTATCTGTAGCGCCTGGTGCCCATCCCCCTTTCCAAACACACTAGAACTTAGGTTTCCTGGCTGTTTCTTCTTGGTCTTCCTCGTCAGTCAGGCCTGTCCCCCAACCTCTTAAACACTGTCACGTCCCAAGACTTGTTTCTGGTAACTTCTTTTTCCTGTTTATACTCATGCCCTAATGACCTGTGAGCCCATCTGCTTTCGTGGTTTCTTGTTTTGTGTTGATGCAGGGGATCAAACCCAGAGTATTGTACCTTCTCATCCCTAGCCCTCACTATCATGGTTTTAAATACATCAATTCAGACTTGTCCCACAACTTTAGACCAGTATCGATACCTTCCATACATCTCTAATGTTGTTTGAGACAGAGCATCCCTATGTAGCTCATGCTGGACTTCAACTCACAATCTTCCTGCCTCAATCTCTAGTCCTGAGTCAGAATTAAGGCAACATACCTGACCCTCAAGATAAACTCTACTGTTTAGCAAGTCCCTTAAAGTGAATGTGCCCATTGTATAAAAAGGCACGCCTCAACAGAATAGCGTGGGTCACTCTCTCCTTTCCTAAAAAATCTGTATAAATACGATTTTATTAGAAAAGATGCCCTAGACACACACACATGAAAAAAAGGAGTGGGGAGAAGGAAGGAGAGAGGACAAGTTGGGAGATGGAGAGGGTCTGGGAGGAGTTAAGAGAGGATAAAAACATGATAAAAATACATGAAAGCGCTTTAATAAAAAATTTAAAAACAGAAAAACTGCCTTTGGTCAGATGCAGTGGCGCATGACTGGAATCTTAAAACTCTTGAGGTTGAAACAGGAGAAATGTGAGTTCCAGGCTAGCCTGGGCTACACAGCAATACCTGTCTTTAAAAGCTTTAAAAAGAGGGAACAGAAAAAAAAGAATGAAAGAGGATCAGCTCTAGCAAATCTCTACAAAAAAGAGCAAACCTCCTCTCTCTCCAGGAACTATAGCAGAAAAACTATACTGTTTTTCTGTAGCAGCTGTTGCCATCTGAAGTGTACTGCAATTAGCCTCATGTTTGAATGGTGTATCTGGTGGTTTTTATCTGTTTTCTCCTTTCCAGGATTGTCAGCTGTGCCTTCAAGAACCCAGAACAGTTCCTGATCCAGCACTGTAACCAATTAAATGGATGAACCTGAGTCCTTGTAAGAAGTGGAATCATAGGGCTGAAGAGATGGCTCAGTAGTTCAGAGCAATGACTGCTCTTCCAGAGGTCCTGAGTTCAATTCCCAACACACACGGCAGCTCAAGACTGCCTGTAATCCAAGATCCGACACCCTCACAAAGACATACATGCAGGCAAAAACACCGATGCACATTACATAAAAATAAATTCTTTTTTTAAAACTGGAATCATAGGGCTGGAGAGACGGCTCAACAATTAGGAGAACTTGCTGCTCTCCCAGAGGACCCAAATCCAGATCCTAGCATACATGCCGGACAGTTCAAAATGCCTATAACTCCAGCTGCAGCGGCAAGAGACCCAACATCCTCTTCCGGCCTCCGCAGGTACAAACATATCCAAACCCATAAAGAAATAAAAATTAAAAACAAACCTTTAAGAATAAGAACTAGAATCATCCCTCCCCAAAACTTAGATTCCCATCTAGACTTGCTCTTCCTTCCTCCTCCACCCTGATCACCTAGTGACCAGCTGCTTGAAAAAAAGACGTCTAGTCTCGGATCTTATTCACCCTCAAACTGTATACTTTCCTGGGCTCCTACTGACCCCTCCATGGGCCATTTCTTCCATTTCCCCTTCGTTCATTCCACCTACCTCTTCGTAATTACCAGAATTCACCCGTTTCTTTCACGTGTCAGGTTCTTCTGCCAAGAATTCTTTGGCCAATGTGTCCCTGGAGCAACCTCTTAACCATTTTTCAGGGCTCGATCTAGGCCTCACTCTCTTTCCGATGTGTAAAGAGTCCCAGGGTCTTGATGGCTTCTTGACAACCATAGGTTGTCACGGTTGGAGACTAAGTCCATGTTTCCCCACCGTGCCCTGAACTCCCGAGATCAGGGAGGGTCTAATTCACCCTCCAGTCCCAAGCACTCACTAGACGCAGAATGAATGAAGGCAGGGTGGGGCTGGAGTCCCTGACTGCTGAAGGCGGGGTCTGGCGACAACTGAGAGGGTGTGGCCCACACCAATAAGAGCCCCTAGAAAGAGGTTAACATGGGAGAAGAGCCAATGGGAACCGAGAGCTCTTAAGAAGGGGGCGTGCCCTGGAGGCGAAGAAGGGACGTGGGGCAGGGTGGAGGGCGTGCCCAATGGAGGGCGGGGCTAGAAGACAATGGACTGGGGAAATTTTCTGGTGAATCAAGAGGGGTCAAATCGCATGCTTAGTCTCGGTCTTTGGAGTGGGATGGGGGTTCGGTCCGCGTGCCGCGCCCGCACCTGATCGCACCTCTCTTGCTGTCCGCAATTCCGGCTCTTCAAAGCCGACCGCTGGCCGCCGAGACCATGGGAGCCCGCGCCAAAGACGCACGCACTCGGGCGCGCGCACGCTCACACGAAGAAGCGCAGGCCCAGGTCAGTCTCTGCTGCAGGGCGTGCTTAAACCACTTGTGGGCGGAGCCAGGCGTGCGAAGAGGGCAGAACTCACTGCCACGCCACGCCCCTGGGCGGGGTGTCATTCTAGACCTCCCCCTCCTCAAGTTTCCGGGCTTCTAAAGCGCCGGTGGCTACCCGGGCACTGAGAGCTCCGAAGGAGCCCAGGGCTCGGGGGACGCAGTCCACAGAAAGAACAGCTGTCTGCAGAGGCGAGATGCTACCAGAATATTAGGGCTGCAGCCAGGATTAGGTATGCCACTATATATGGACCCCTAGTTTCACAGCTGCTTTCAACACCCCCGAGCCCCAACGCATAGACGTGCGGTAGATGTGGCTTTATTACGCAGACAAATAGGTGTCAGGAGCAGGGGCCCGAGGGGAGGCAGGAGGACAGAGAGGGCGTAGGAGTTGGTACCAGGCTGAAGAGCGCCCGGCGGCCAGTGGAAGGTGAGGGAGGTGGGCCGGCCTGCAGCGAGCTGAGTGCTGCCTGGCGATGCTCTCGGGACACGTCCCCGCGCAGGTCCAAGAGGGCAGAAACGTGATCCTCGCTGCAAGAATTCCACCAGGTGCATCAGCCCCGCCCTTGCCCTCTCAGGCTCCTCCTCCCCCGTCCCCTTCCCCTCGCACCTCACGTCGGGAAATTGTTGCCTCAGGCCTGCCACCTCGAGACCAAGCAGCGTGGGGTCGTGAAGGTTGAGCAGTTCCCTCAGCGCAAGCAGCACCGGCGCGCAGTGAGCGCTCTCTTCTAAGCCCTGAACATGTTGGAGCAGGTTTTCCAGCCAGCCCTGGGCTCCCACCCAACCACAGAGATGCTCGACTGTCTGCCCCCCCAAAGAGCTCTCACCAAACCAAGGAAAAGCTCCTTCAGCTGTGCAGCATCCTGCCTAAGGCGCTCAGCCGCCTGGGTCCGCTCTTCCACACCACGGCACACCAAGCGGCCCTGCATCAGCGAGCGTAGGTACTGCAACACCACGGTTCGTTCTGCCTCCGCCAGCAGCAGCTGCAGGACGGTCACCATTTTGAGAACAGATTCCCATCAGCACTACCCTCTCCCCAGCTTTCCTCTCCCCACCCCACCTGAACAGCAGGCTTCCGCACGCGCCAGAAGTCCTGGCAGAAATGAGACGTCTGCTCACACACGCTGTCCAGTAACTCAGAACTCAATAGCCACCGGCGCGAGGGCAGAGCGGCGAACAGGGGCTAGGGAAAGCATGGCAGACGCGGGGCTAGAGAAATGATCCGGATCCCACAGAGACTACCATAAATACACCGTGTCTCCCCCTTCAAATTACCATCCATGCTGGGATGGCAGCCTCACCTGGAGCTCAACCTGCAGTGCTTCCAATACCAGGCGGCAGACCCTCCTCTGTACGTCGTCCAGCGCGGCTTCTACTGGAGTTAAAAACCCTGAAGCTTCCCCATCGGGCAGCAGGACGGATACCGAAGATCTAAACCGACCAAAAGTAAGACTTCAGGACCAAGGCCAAGGCTCGCATGGCCCTCCAGGAGTCATCCATTCTGGCGCCACCTTCTGGTGCTAATCGTCTGGTAGGAGCGGGGGACGCTCTGAGTTTATCAGTCTCAGGTTTTCTGAAAAGGCTAGTAAGGGCAAGCCCAGCACACTTGTCTCTAGAGTAACCTCCAGTTAAGTCTTTCTTCCTGTTATTTTGTTTCGGAGCCGAGCTAATCTTAGTCAAGAGGGAGTGAAAATCCTCAGCTTGTATATATGTCTGTCTTCCCTGTACCCACTACAAAGAGTATAATACTCAAGAAGATAGCCAGGCCTGGTGGAGGCTGAAGAAGGAAGATTACTATCAGTCTGAGGCCAGCCTGAACTAGAGAGTGCCACTCTTGTCTCAAAGCAGGAGGAAGAGTGGGAGGAAGTTTTTCTTGTTCATGGCTGTAAACCTCAGACATTATCTGATGTAGAGTAGAGCCTTGATAAATATTTGCCGAAAGAATGTGGTAGCTATTTCGCATCTTTATCTCATATGATTCTCAGACTTTCATCGTTACCCAAATAATACTAATGAAAAAACTGACGGGTGCCTTGCTGTACGAAGTAGTCATTAGCAGAACTAAGGTTGGAATCTCATCCTTGTGGGCCCAAAGTGGTTCTAATGTGGGTGGCATCCATGCAGTAGAGGGGCTCAGAAAGGTGCTCGTGAAAGTGTACTACCTCAGGGCTGACTGGTGGTTGAAGGCAGCCAGTAGGTAGGGTACATAGTGAGGGGCCATTGCTTCTCCCCTGAGATGGTCTCGAGAGAATCGGATCAGAGCATCACTGAAGCTGCAGCGGGTAGAGGGAGGGGCACTCCTGGGTTTGCTGTCACTCTGGCACCCCCCACAACTGCACCCCCAGAACTCTTGTCCCAAAACAAGGAACCCCTCCCCACAGGTGTGCCCTAGGCACTCAGAGCCCTTTGGCCGTCTGGGAACAGGACTGGAGACGGTGAACAGGCCCCACTTGGCAAACCTCCTCAAGAATGCACCCAGTTCTGACAGTGCCATGTCGTGCACCCGCCCGTGCAGCGAGTCACCGATCAGGCTGGCCACTCGAATGTTTTCAGCCAGGATCTAGAGGCAGGGAGGAGCAGCCTTTAGAAATTCCCTAGACCTGCCCATCTCCCCTTTTCTTTGTGGGAGCTGCACACTTCCTGGGCACTTCCCACCCACCTGCAGTACAATGGCTGGCATCGGTGAGTGGTAGAAACCAGACGGGTCTGTGTTGGGCTCCTGCTCCCTACTCCACTCAGCTACCTCCCCATCTAGTGCTTTCTTCAGCCACTGAGCCACACTTAGCTGGGAAGAAAGGACAAAGAGCAGCAGGATGTGTCAGGGTACCGACAAGACATTCAAACTAGGCAACAGTCACTAGTCACCTGGACTTGGGCCACAAATGCTGCCTCCAGCTGCTCAATGTTCTCAGAAGTCAGGAGGGGTTCTAGTTGGGACACATCGGCCTCAGGCCCCAGTTCCAAGTTCCCCATCATTTCCTTCCTAGAGATAGAGAGCAAGCAAGCAGGATGTCATAGTGAGCCTCTAATCGTCCCACTTCCCACTTCTCCAAGAACACTCACCCCATGTATACATGCAGTGTCCAGTGCAGCAAGGCAAAGGTGTCCGCAGCTCCCAGCTCAGGCCCTGAAAGGAGTTGCTGCACCCTGCGGCGAAGGCCACTGTGCAGGGTGTGGGCCCACAGCCGAACCACATGGTAGTTTGGTGGGCAGCAGGGTGCCACTAGTGCCTCAGCTTTTGCCAACTCAGCAGGCAAGGCTACCTGCAGAGCCTCAAGCCACCGTGCCAGGGCTCCTGGCTCAGGCAGCACAGGCGATGCGAAGTGGGCCCGCTCCAGGCCCTCCTGTAGTGCCCGAAGACATCGCTGCCGCCAGTCCCGGGGCGCCTGCCCCAGGGTTGTGCGCTCAGTCTCCACCTCTGCCACTCGGACAGCAGCTACCAGCAGGGCTGGATCCTCACGTGCCAGCCGCCCTGCAGCCCCTGCAGCGGCCTCCACAGCTTGGCCCAGTGCCTCAGCCAGAAGGCCCAGCCCCTGGAAGATTGGCAACTCCTGCCCTCCTAAGGGTGTCCACGTCTCCTCTTGCAGTTGCTCTAGCTCCCGCAGGCTCACATATGCCTCCAAGAATCGCTGGGCGCCTATCAGGGTCTGTGTGTGGGCCACTGCAGCTGGCACTAGTGAAGAAAGACAGAGTGAGAGCTCAGCCTTCCCACCTGTGCTGTTGGCACAGCAAAATGCTGAGGTCTCGAGTCTGGTGTGATGTATTAGACATTTAATAATAAGCACAATAAAGCATCAGTTAATCTGAACATCTAGGCTAAGGCCTAGAGTCAACTCCTGAGCCAATAGAAAATAAAATCAAGAAGGCTGGGGAGGTGGATAACAGACTAGAGAGACAGCTCAGTGGTTATGAGCTCTTGCTGCTTTTTGCAGAGGCAAGGCCCTGGGTTCAATTCCTAGAACCCATGTGACAGCTCACAACTGCCTATAACTCCAGTTCCAGGGGACTGAACATTCACACACTCAAATGTTCACTTAAAATACAAATCTTAAAAAAGAAAGCTAGAGGCAAACAAAAATCAATGGAAAGCCATTCTGATTGCTATTCAACCACGTTGTTAGGGAAATATTTACAAACATAGCTATGTATATATTAGTATTTAGGCGCATATACATGTGGATGCATGTCTATATTGTACTTTGTATGTATGTCATTTGGGGGAGGGTGCCTGGGATTGAATTTAGGGCCCTGCAACATAAAAAGTACATGCTCTACCGGAACTACAGCCAAAGCCCTTTCAGTATGTAAACCCCAGGGGCCACAGCCGAGAAATGGAATTTCTATGCTGGCTCTAACTTCCTCAGCTTGAGAATCCCAGAATGAGCTGATTGTGCCTGTTTCATATACTCTTTGAAGCTGAGATTACTCTCTGGGGTGTCCCTGGTACAGGTCTCCATGTAATAAACCCCTTCCCTCCCTCGTGTCCCAGCTGCTGACCAGTAGGGGTGTTTGTGGACTATTAGAAGCTGAGGTCCAGGGTGCCCTTCCCCCCACTCACCTGCTTGTAGTCTTGGCAGCAGCCGGGTCAGGACCTGGAGCTGCTTGTGCTGGGCAACACGTTCTCTCAGGGGCTCCAGCGTTTGTGAGGTCTGAGACAAACCCCGGAGTAAGTGATGGGCCTGGCTCAGGGCTCCGCGTGTTCCCTGCACAGCCTCGAGGGCTCTGGCCAGCTGCCACACGCCAGTCTGCACACCTTCCAGGTATGACTGCACAACGGACTGCGGAGAGAGGTGACTAGCAGAGGTTACCCAGTCCCACTGCCCACTCCAACACTCCTGCTCCCCTGTCCCAGACGCACCTTGATCCGTGCCTCAAGGGAATAATTCCGCTGCACTTCGCGGCTGCGGTACTGGGCCAGCCTGGCCAGCTGCTCTGGCCGGTAGAAGATGCCTGAGGCCCACTTGAGTGCTGCACCCCGAGCCAACTGTTCTGCCCTCTCCTGCTCTGCCCACTCGGGCCCTGGGCAGGAAGAGCCTGGGCGGACGGTTGTGTCAGTCAGGGAGGGCCTGTGGCTAACAAACCTGCTGTCCATCTGTTTCCTCAGCCTATCCCCAGAGCAGCCCACTCTTAACTATCCTATAGAGCTCTAGCCAGACCTGGCAGGAAAACCCAGCCCCAGTCCACCATTTCCATTTTTTTTCCTCACCATCATCCTTCCCCAAGCCCAGCTAGCAAAGCTCATACCAGGAAGAAGTGTGGGCTGTACTTTGTCCTTGGCTGCTGAATCCATGGTGTACCTCGGGGAGCTGGAGCTGTGGTAGGAGTTGGGGTTGAGAGCCTGGAGGGGATCAGGCAGAGTGGATGTTCCTTTGACCCTCCCCTGGGAAAGAGGAGCAAGGATCTTGCCTAGCCCCTTCAGGAAACAAGAGAGAAGGAGGTATGCTAGAAGGGCAACCAAAGGAGGCCTTGGTTCTCTAGAGTTTTGGGGTGTGCCTCTGCAGATGCCAAGTGTGAGTATGTGAATAGGCCTACCATGCTAGCTGCAAGTCCCCTTTACTGCTCTGTAATGCCCAGGACAGTTTGGTACAGAACTTACCAGATCTGACTGGTGTCCAGTTCTCCCTCCTCTGCAAATGGCCTTGGCCTTGAGAATGGCCTCCTCTCTCCTGCAGAGCTGGGCACACCCTCACTGCTCACGGGACCAGAGTGACTCCAGCTCCTCTGGCACCAGTAGCCGAATTCTTCTCCCCAAGGAAGCCTCTCTCCCACTTCCCAGCCCAGAAGCCCCTTCTTCAAAGGCCCCTCCCTCTCCAAAGCAGAAAGAAAGGAAGGAAGTTGAGCCTCTGACGCTTTATTCCCAACAGGAAAAGCATCTGCGTTGAGGTGGGGAGAGCTGGGCGCCACTTCCTGCTAGGCATGAACTCCCTGTGACCACCAAGTCTTGGCCAGCCCACCTAGGGCTTCTAAGTGATCGGGAAACACATATGCACATATGAAGCAGATTTGGCCTCAAGCTGGCTTGAAGGATGACCTTTCCATGGATTGATGTGGCTGTAAACGAGATGACAATGTGAGAACTGCTGATAGGCCCAGCAGAAAAGGATATGTGCCCCTGTCGTGGAAAGTCCACCTGTTGTGAGGAGAAAGTATAGCAGATGACAGTCAATGATCATAAAGGTTCTATCGTTCCTGACAGTGATAGGGAGCCAAGGAGAACATTAGATGATAGTAACATAGTAACCATTTGGCGCACTACCCAAATCCACCCATCAGAATAGACCCCATTTCCTAGCTGCTAGAAGTATAGGCTGCTAAAGGGATGCAGCTGAAGTTCTGAGTCAGTATTGATGTACAAAGGCCGAAGTAAGTACCCCTGCTGAACATGAACACCTCAGAAAGACTACTCCAATTTCAGAGTTCACACCATGGGCTCTATTATAACTCAGTCTTCCAAATTCTGCTTGTTTTACTCTCTCTCGAGTGTGAGTCCCCAAAAGACTTGCTGAAGGCATTTTTTTGTCGCAGAGGAACTGACCAACGAGTAACAGTAAGTGCTAACAACGTTAAAAATAAGAGTTTCTGCCTGGCAAGATGGCTCAGATGTTAAGAGCACTTGCTGCTCCTGCAGAGGACATGGGTTCAACTACCAGCACCTACATGGAAGCTAATAACTGCCTGTTAACTCCAGCTCCCAGAGCTCTGACACCTCTTCTAAACCTCCCTGAGTACTGTCACACATGTGCACAAACATAAACACACACACACTAATAATACATATACATATAAGAATCTTTAGAAAATTAAAAAGCACCGGGCATGGTAGAGGCAGGTGGATATCTATGAATTTGTGGCCAGCTTGAACTACAAAGCAAGTCCAGGATAGCCAGAGCTGCACAGAGAAACCCTGTCTCAAATAAATAAATAAATAAACAAACAAACAAACAAATAAATAAATGAGACTTGTAAACACACGGTCCTATCTCTATGTTAGGAACTGCCTTAAAGGCTTTACTTATATTCACAAATGGGCAAATAACCTTTGCATAAACTGAGTAGTGTTTGTAAGTAAGACTCTTGGCCTTTGTGAGCTGTATGGAGACCAAAGAAAAATGATGCTGGAACTAAATAAGGAGTAGAGATGGAGTAAAGTGGGCAAGCTAGATATAGTTTTTCTCTGGTTTGGCAGGAAGTAAAGAACAGGAATAGCAGGAATAATCTCAAAACAGCAGGGAAGCCTTTGGGATCAGTTTTAAGCTAATAGGCTGTTTATTAGACAGTATGAATTCCCTTTCCTAGATGGGGTGTTTGGGCAGTTAGTAGTTTGGAAGCAAGTTATCAAGGAATATTCTGGTGGTTCTCTCTTCTCAGCTGCGAGGACTGCTCACTGACCTCCTCCACTTTTTTTTTTAATATTTTTATTTCAATTTTTATTAATTACTCTTTATTCACTTTGTATCCTTCCGCAGCCACCTCTCTCCTCCCCTCCCAATCCCACTGTCCCTCCCCCTTCTCCACGCATGCCCCTCCCCAGTCTATCAGGTCTCATCAGGACTGGCTGCATTGTCTCCTCCTCCATTTCTTGCTATAAAATGTGTTCAAGTCTCCCAGCTGTTCTAAGCAGTTGCTTTCGTTTTCTTTCTTTCTTTTTTCTTTTTTTCGTTTTCTGGCACATTTGTTGATGGTCCCCAAAGTTTTACGTCCAAATCTGCAGACAGGAATTGCCCCATATACCCTGGGAGGGCGCGAATCGGAAGCGGAAGCAGCCGTGATAGCCCCGGTGGCCCGGCGACTAGGAACGGAAGCGGAAGTGGCGCCGCCGCCGGCCTGGCCTGGCCTGGCTGAGGGGAGGCGGCGGGCGGGCGGGCGCGATGGCGGAGGCCGGGCCACAGGCGCCGCCGCCCCCGGGTACTCCAAGCCGACACGAGAAGAGTCTGGGACTTCTCACCACCAAGTTCGTGTCGCTTCTGCAGGAAGCCAAGGACGGCGTTCTTGACCTCAAGCTGGTGCGGCTCGGGTTCAGGGGCGATAGGGGAGATGGTGGACCAGGCCTGGACCAGTAGCGGGAACCCCCGGGGCGGCCCCGCCGAGTCCTCCGACTGCCGGCCGCCATCAGTGTGCTTTCTCACACGAGTGAGGCGGGAGGTTGTTTTCATTCACTCAAGGCATTGCGCCTCAGCTCTGTCTGGATGGGGCTGCAGGTGCTTGCCCTCGTGGCCCTTCGTGGCCAGCGCCGGGAAACGAGCATCAGAGTATCAGAACACAGCTAAGCCAGGACTCTTCCCAACACACTGCTGGAGTGATTGAAAGGAACTCCAGGGGTGGGACACAAGAGTACCCCTAGTCCAGATTAAAAGTATCAGGGTGCACACATAAAAGTGGGGCTAGCGTTCTCCATTCTCTTCTACCTGCCAGGCAGCCGACACTCTAGCTGTGCGCCAGAAACGGCGGATTTACGACATCACTAACGTATTGGAAGGTATTGGTCTGATCGAGAAAAAATCCAAGAACAGCATCCAGTGGAAGTGAGTTGGGATGTTTGGGAGGGCAGGAGTGTCAGGGGGTGTGGGGTGATGGTTGTAGGAGAGAGCGGAGGTTTGGGACCCAGAGGTTCTTAGAAGCTCCTCTCAGTCTCTCCTTCCTGTGGTTCAGGGGTGTCGGGCCAGGTTGCAATACCCGGGAGATTGCCGACAAGCTGATAGAGCTCAAGGCAGAGATCGAGGAGCTGCAGCAGCGGGAGCAAGAACTTGACCAGCATAAGGTGTGGGTGCAGCAGAGCATCCGGAATGTCACAGAGGACGTCCAGAACAGCTGATATCCTCTGGCAGTCCCTGCCCCGGGGAGTGGGCAAGGGGCCCTCAGCTGGTTTTGCTTTGTGGATCTCTGGGCTCTGTCCCTCTTGAAAGAATTATCTTGCCACCCCTGGTCAGACACGAGGCTCCCTTCTCTTCTAATCTTAGCCCATGATCCTTACCCACTTGGATCCCAGGTTCCAGAACTTCCTCTGAGGGCTTGTATGTCAGAAATCTGCTAAAACATGGGCTCTCTTCTGTGATCTGCCATCTGGCACAATAAGAAAGGCATCAGCTGTTCTCCTTAACCCCCACACCTTGGCCTACGTGACTCATGAAGACATCTGCAGATGCTTTGCTGGTGAGCAGAGCTTGGGTAGGGGGAAAGGAGGGTGGGACTGAGCTAAACCACAGAGCCCTGAGCATCAGGTTCCGTGCCCAAGGAGAAGTTCCATCTCTTAAGAGGGTACCTGATGCCTACTTAAAGAGAAAATGGTAAGTTTTACCTTGAAAGTCGCAGGGACTCTGTAGAGACAAATGATACTGAAAGGGTACAAGAGTCCCCAGTGTGTCCCCTGGGTTTGCCCTCATCAGCTGTGTTCTCTGGGTTTTGTTCTTGGGCATGATAGTGGCACAGAGGGGGGAAAAAGAACGTATGTATATTTGTGTGCACAATCTTACATACTGGTATGTAGGAGTCCGTGGTGTGCATTTCTAATTTGTAATCAGTTTCTTTGCATTGTGTATATAGGACCCCTTCCTTTGTCTTATATTCCATCTTGTATTTTGGAAAAACTTGATTAGAACTTCCGTTTCTAAGCATCAGCATCATTTGAGCAATGAAGTGGTACCTATAGCCAGTGACTTTACTCCAGAATGTGATTGTATGTTTAATCCCAACACTTAGAAAATAGGAGAGCAGATCTTTGAATTTGAGGTTAGCCTGGTCTACACTGCAAGTTCCAGGTCGGGCAAGACTGCATTAAAATGCCCTGTCTCAAAAAGAAAAAAAGAAAAAAGAAAGAAAGAAAAAGTATGTTTGGAGCTGGATTTTCTGGTTATTGACCATGAGGTTTTGGGGAGAGAAGAATTGTAGCTCTACCCAGTGCTCTGAGATGGTAGAGACTTAATATTCAGTCTCTTAGAGACTCTGGTCTCTTCTCTTACTCCAGTGAACAGACACTTTACTAGCTCAGATTGAGCTCATGGTCCCTGACCTATTCTCCTTAACATTCTAGGAGACACCCTCCTTGCTATCCGGGCCCCATCAGGCACCAGCCTAGAGGTGCCCATCCCAGAGGTAGGTGCTCATCCCTGGAAGGCGGTGTCAACTGAGGGCGGATACTGGCTGTGAAGCTTGATAAGTTCTGGGTGGGGCAGGTAGGGGAGGGAGGCCTGGAGTTTGGGGTTATCTCAGTGGATTGGCAGATGAGGAGTGGGAGGGCAGTCTGGCTCTGACCCAGGGTCAGGCAGGATCTATGTCTGCTTGCAGTTCTATTTGTTCCCCATCTTATGCCACCTACCTCCAGGGTCTGAATGGTCAGAAGAAGTACCAGATTCACTTAAAGAGCATGAGTGGCCCCATCGAGGTGCTGCTAGTGAACAAGGAGGCCTGGAGTTCACCACCTGTGGCTGTGCCTGTACCTCCCCCTGATGATCTGCTCCAGAGTCCACCTGCTGTTTCTACACCTCCACCTCTGCCCAAGCCTGCCTTAGCTCAGCCCCAAGAAACCTCTCGTCCAAGCAGTCCCCAGCTAACTACCCCTACTCCTGTCCTTGGCAGCACGGAAGCCTCAGAGGTAGCAGGCCAGACAGCTGAAGTTGCAGGTGAGATGCTGTGGAAAGGTGTCTATGTTATAGAGAACTATACTAAGATAGAAGAGGCTTCTGGGGTCCCCGCCTAGCTTTCCTTGGGGGTCACAGTAATTTTTTTGTTACTACTTTCATTTACTTAT